AAGGTGTTGTGTCCAACTACAACTTAAAATAGTAACAACATAGCTGGGTGTGGTGACACACCTGTAATCCCAGTGGCTCAGGAGCCGGAGGCAGGAGGATCCTGAGTTCAAAGCCAGCCTCAGCAACAGCAAGGTGCTAAGCAACTCTGTGAGACCCTGTGTGTAAGTAAAATACAAAATGGGGCTGGGAATGTGGCTCGGTAGTTGAGTGCTGCTGAGTTCAATCCCCAATATTAAAAAAAAAAATAGGGCCAGACATATGGTTCAGTGGTTGAGTGCCCCTGCATTCAATCCTGCCCCCAAGGGGGAAAAAAAAAGTAAACCCAGGGTGGTGGCACAAGCCTGTATCCCAGCAACTCAGGAGGTAAATCAGGAGAATTGCCAAGTTTGAGGCCAGCCTCAGCAATTTAGTAAGATCCTACACAACTCAGCAAGAATCTGTCTCAAGATATAACGAGGGTCTGGGGTTGTGGCTCAGGGGTAGAGCTCTCACCTGCACACGCGGGCCCCTGAATTTGATCCTCAGCAGCACATAAAAATAAAACAAAGGTATTGAAGAAAAGTCTCTCAATAGATATAGAAAAGAGGCATTTGACAAAACTCGGCACCTTCATGAGAAGAAAACACTGAGTGTAGAAGGAAATTAACATAAATATGAAAAAAAAACCCAGAAGCTTTTCCTCTAACAGAGTAAAGTTAGTCCACTCACCACTTCCTTTGAACGTAGTATAGTATTGGAAAGCCTAGCCAGAGCAAGGTTTAAGCAAGAAAAATAAAATCTATCCAAATCAGAAGGAAGATTTAAAATTGTCTGCATATGACATGATCCATATATACAGAAAATCCTAGAGACGCCATTCAAAAAGCTGTTGGAAGGTGGGAGTGGTGACACAAGCCTATAATCCCAGCTACTTGGAGGGCTGAGGCAGAATTGCAGACTCAAGGCTGGCCTGAACAACTTAGTTATTGAGACCCAAGTTGAAGGCCAGCCTCAGCAACTTAAAAAGGGCTGGCGATGTACCCCAATGACTAAGCACTTTTTGGGGGGAGGGTACAAGGGATTGAACTCGGTGCTCAACAAGAGCTACACCCTCAGCCCTATTTTTGTATTTTATTTAGATCCTCCTGTCTCAGCCTCCCGAGCAACTGGGATTACAGGCATGTGCCACTGTGCCTGGTGATAAAGCACTTCTCTAGCATGTGCCAGACCCTGGGTTCAATACACACTACTGTTAAAAAAAAAAAAAAATTGCGAGGTGTGCTCAGAGCAGGGGGCCTGGAGAATGCTTCTCTGTTTACAACACACCCAACAGGACTATGGGGTTATTGTGACAAGGGGCACAAAAATTGTGGTTTCCCTATGAACAAATGCCCTACATGTGTACCCTCCATGTGACTTTCAGACAGGACCAGTGAGACAGGGCTGAACACTAAGCTGCAGTATGTAGTTTGGGAGGTGACCATTTAGAGCCTGTCCAGTCCATGTGTTGGTTGGCCTTGGTTGGTCCTAGAAATAAAGACTTTGAACCTCTCAAAAAAAAAAAAAAGAAAGAAAAAGAAAGTAAAATGACAAAAGCCATTTTTTTTTTTTTTTTTATACCAGGGATTGAACTCAGAAGAGCTTAACCACTTAGCCATATCCCCAACCCCTTTTATTTTGAAACAGGATCTTGCTAAATTGCTTCAGGTCTCACTAAATTGCCAAGACTGGCCTTAAACTTGTCCTCCTGCCTCAGCCTCCTGAGTTGCTGGGATTACAGGCATGTGCCACCATGCCCAGCTTTTACCATTTTTTTTTTTTTTTAGAGAGAATTTTTCAATATATATTTTTATTTTTTAGTTTTCGGCAAACTCATCTTTGTATATGGTGCTGAGGATCAAACCCAGGCCGCACACATGCCAGGCGATCGCGCTACCGCTTGAGCCACATCCCCAGCCCCTTACCAAAATTTTTAAAAAATAATAAATATAGGGCTGGGGCTCAGTGATAGAGCACTTTCCTAGCATGTGTGAGGCACTGGATTTGATCCTCAACACATGTATAAATAAATGAATAAAATAAATGTCCATCAACATCTAAATTTTTAAATCAAAAAGCAAAGGAGAATTATTGAACTATTAGGAGACAGTGTAGGTTCATATGTTTTAAGGCCTTGGGATGAACAAATTTAGCTGTATTTAACCTTTTAACCTTTTTTTTTTTTTTTTTTTTTTTTGGATTGAACTCAGGGGCACTCATCCACTGAGCCATCCCCTAGCCCTGTTTTGTTTTTTATTTAGAGACAGGGTCTCACTGGTTGCTTAGGACCTCATTTTTGCTGAGGCTGGCTTTGAAGTCATGATCCTCCTGCCTCAGCCTTCCAAGGCACTGGGATTATAGGTGTGCACCATCATGCCAGCTGTATTTAACCTCTTTTTTTGCCATTATTGTAGTATATTCACACTGGATTCTGTGCAGCAATGAGAATAGGTTTGTATTTATCAAAAGACATCATTAAAGGAGTAAAAAGGCAAGTCAGAGGGAAAATATATAATTTTATATATAAAATTCATATGTAGGGCTGGGGTTGTAGCTTAGTGATAGAGTACTTGCCTTGCGTGTATGAGGCCCTGGGGTTTGATCCTCAGCACCAAATAAAAATAAAGATATTATGTTCATCTACAACTAAAAAATTATTTAAAAATAAAAAATACAAAATTCATATGCAGACTATAGTTTCTACAAATAAAGGCAATTCAACAGAAAAATGAGTTTTAAAAAGACACTTTGCACAGAAAACATGTTTGATTTCATTAGTCTTCAGAGAAATACACATTTAAACCACAATGAGATGTCATCCTCTCACTAGAATGGCTCACATTTGCCAGACAATACCAAGTGTTGGTGAGGACGTAGGGAGCTCTCATACACTGCTGGAGAATGTGTAAATTAGTACAACATTGAGAAACTGATAATATCCATTGAAGCTGAAAATATGCATATCGTATCCACTTCTAGGCATATCAACAGAAATGGCCACATACTTTCACTAAAAGACCACAAACATGCTGAGCAGCACCTTTCAAAATGGTTAGCCTGAATGACACCCTTTGACAGTGGAATGGAAATTACTTGTCTAGTGAGATAGGAAGAAATCAGAAACGGAGAAATCTGCCAGAGCAGACACTGTGAGATTTGCTAGTTTGTGATGATGATAAAAGACAGACCAACCTCCAGTTCAGCTGCATTTTCCTACAGTAGAGTATACCATCTTACTGCCTGCATCGGGGCAGAGTGTTCTCCTCTTCTGTCCCAGTATATATATATATATATATATATATATATATATTTTTTTTTTTTTTTTTTTTAAAGTGGACACAACCCCGCTATTTAGTATTTGTTACGTGGTGCTGGGGATCAAACCCACTGCCTCACACATGCTAGGCAAGCGTCCTACCACTGAGTCCCAGCCCCAGGCACTGTTATGGTGTATATATGAGACGGAATGCTGGCATGCTATATAGAAAATGAAAACAGGAAAATAAAACTATGGCTAGAGATATGAATGAATGTCACAAAGATACTATGAGCCAGGCTTGGTGGCTCACAGTTGTAATCCCAGTGACTCAAAAGGCTGAGGCAGGAGGATTGTCAGTTTAAGGCCAGCCTGGGCAAAATAAAATGGGTTGGGGATTGGGGATGTAACTCAATGGTAGTGGTAGAGTGCTCTTAGATTCAATCCCCAAATCCCCAGTACCAAAAACAAAATAATTGAGTAAAAATATTTAGATGAAGAGTACACACTAGCCAAGCATGTTGCCACATACTTGTAATCCTAGTGACCTGGGGCTGAGGCTGGATAATCTTAAATTCAGGGACAGCCTGGGTAATTTAGGCAGAACTTGTCTCAAAATAAAAAAAGTTAAAAGAACTGGGGATAAATGTAGCTCAGTGGTAAGCACCCCTGGGTTTAATCCCCAGTACCAAAAACAGAAAAGAGACAGAGGAAAAAAAAAAAAAGCACACACTACAGTCTCACTGATGATGAATTTGTTGAGTTACAGTATGTTCAAGTCTCAGGTTTAAAAAAAAAAAAGCTAAGCAAACTGATAAATTATACAATTGCATCAGAAACATGGGTCTGGGGCTGGGGATGTGGCTCAAGCGGTAGCACGCTTGCCTGGCATGCGTGC